AGAATACGCAAAGAAGTGATTTGCATTGGGGGAGGCTGTTCTGTCCAGCCGCAAGGTGACTGATGTAGTCACGTGCGTTGTGACAAGTAGTTTCTGTTGATCTCTTGCTTTGAAGCATGCTGTGGCTCTTGTTCTGTAAGTTAGAACTGCAGGTATTTGTCATCAAGTAGTTCTGCCGTCTGTCCCTTCCAGTCTGAATCTTGCTGGTGGTGGGGCTGTTCCTAAGCTTGCTGTTGCACTATGGTTTCCACTCCCACACCCAAACTGGAATGACTGAAAAGAGCAGGGCCTTTGAAATGAGTAAAGTGTATTAGTAGGCCAGTATGTTTTTCCTCTGTAAGAACAGGGATAAATTCAGTAGAATTAAGGCAAACTTTTAATGTAAAAATATGGAGGGTGATAACTTAGGCCATGCTATCTTTTCTTTAAGTAAATACCTAAGGTACAGAAACTGAAAAGGCCAATGAGACTAATGTGAAGGTGAAAAAGGTATAAAGACTCCATAAACTTTGACCAGCAAAAATTTTGATTTAAAAACAAATATCTTCAGAAAAATATGCACGCTTTCACGTGAAGTGCCTTGGCTTTACTCCCTATGCAAGAACATGTATGTATGGTTTGATATAAAATTTTGCATCTTGTGGTAAGTGCAAAAGAAGCATCTGCTGCCCATTCTGATTGGTCTGAAGGGGATCATACAAGCAAGGTGCACTTCTTACAAGCTCTACAAATCGTGATAGCACAGCTCTTCCCTGATGATAGCCCAAGGTGTGTTGTGCTGGAGGGATGCCTGGTTTATTTAATGAAATATGAAGTAACTGTGCCCTGCTACAGCAGGTACCAAATAGATTTCTGTTTGGAGGATACCGTGAGGTGTGGGGTGTCTCATGTCTGGAACAAAACTTGCATAGATGGAACTACTAAGGCTGCAGCAGCTTAAAAGGAGGGAATCCACATGTAGGCCTTTGGGATTGAGATACAATATAGGACTGCATTGTAGGGATAAAGTTACTACAAAGTCAGTTTTAGTGCTAGCATTAGAGAGGCATTATCAAACTGTAGTTGTGGTGAGCCTTGCTTCAGGCAAGCAAAACTAGACAGACTTGGCAGTGAAAACTGTATTGAGTGATGTTCATGGATGCAGCTGTAGCAAGGAAATGTGGGATTGCAAATATGCTAAGCTGCTGCTCGCTGCTGTTACCCGGGGGTATGCTGCTTGTCACTGGCCGTCAAGCCAGAGGCAAAACCTGTTTGCCAGCAGCTTGATGTGACTGCATAGGCAGAGCCTGTGTAGGCAGCTGAATTAAGGTTGATTTTAGAACAGCAGCACTAGAAGGAGTTAAAGAGTGTTTTAAAGCACTTAAGTCCTACTTCTCTCAAATTGCAAATTCCTATTAAAAGTTGGGAGTACTCTTAGGTAAAAGGGTCTCTTGGCCTGTCTAAAACTGCTCTCAGGACTCATGATATTCCAGCGTTGGCTGTTTAGTTCCAGTCCTTAACACAGTTGCTTGAGAGAGGTGCCTGACAGCGGCTTCAGGAGTCAGTACCCTGAGCAACGAGTAATAAAGCCCCCCTGCTTGGAGCTCAATGTCTCTCTCAGCTCCCAGACAAAAATGTGCCTGTTGGCAGCCCACAGCTGGGAAGGGGCACCCCTACACAGTGCTGTGGTCAGAACACTCAGGGCTGGGAGGCAATTCAGTGTCGGTTCCCTGTCCAAAAGCACAGGCATGCGTCTCCTTCCTGAAAGGACACTCTAGGGTAGAGCTCTCTATCTTTGTTCAGGGCCTGGAAACTGCTTTCTCTGTCTCCTTTCCAAATATACTTAAACATTAATGGGAATGATTAGATAAGAACCTCAGCTTTTGTTAGTAAGAGCCTGTCCCCTACGTATGAAGAAAAGTTTCAGCACATAGGCAGTGCCATGTGCCTTCCACATCACTCCATTGCAGTTAGGTTTGCTTTTAAGACAGTCAGCTTCTGGGAGGTGTCAGAGTTTGCTCCATTTTAAAATACTTCCAGGTTTTGTTGTTACCCTGCTATGTGGATAGGTACTGCTTCAGTTTCATCTGGCATGGGTGGGATAGCAATGCAAGTAATGCACCACAGCAAATTAAGACAGCGAAGACTCAAATACTTCTTCCACGTAGATAAAAATCTAACAGGTAAGCTCATCTTCAGGCTGGATGTGCAGCTCATAAAACTGTGGGACAGTAGTAGTTTTCAGAGTAGCATTGTAAACAACATTACAGTAAGCTACTCTTCCTGCGGTTGCATTAATAACGCTGTCAAGACGCACACTGGATTTGCGTGTGTTGCTGGGGGAACAAAAACATTATAATACCAAGTTCCATAGCAGTTACTGCTACTGGCATTGTCACAGTTGCATGTTTGTCTGCTCCATGATGGGGAAAGGCACAACTGCAGAAGTTACACTGTGCTTGGCTTTTTAATCTAGTGGTTGCTATCTCACAGTCTAGAATAACATGCTATGATAAAGGGATTTTTTTTTAAGTTTATAGCTTTCTTCACGTATTACCTCATAAATAATACACACTCCAGTGAACCTCCTGGTTAGCACCTGCTCCAGCTCACTTCATTCACACAAGGACAGCTTAAAAAAAAAAATTGACCCCATGGAAGCCATTCCGTAGAGCTGCCCAGAGGGCTTGTGAAAGATGCCAGATGGACCCAACCAAAAGAGGTCACGCTCCTGTTGTGGTTGCCCCACACTCTGCAGGTAGCTCCATGAGTGCAGGAAGAGCATGGGCAGCAGCCCTGTCACCTGGCAGTGCTGGGCAGCTCGGGGAGCATCAGCCTGCAGAAGTCTCCACACTGTGGGTAAGCAAAATAACTTCATACAGTAATCTCTAATTAAGGCAGTAAATCTAATGAACCATACAGAGGTTAATACTCTGCTGGTAAGAGCCTTCCTCTAGTTCTTGGCTAATGAAAGCGTGTAGCTGGAGTTGTACACAATAGTTTTCTGTTAAGGTCTCCTGGAAGTTTAGTATTTGCTGCAAATGCTACCTCTGCTATATCTGAAATAGAACAAACTTTGCTAGCAGTTTAATTGTGGAAACTTAAAAAAAAAAAGTAAAAACTTCTGTGTTACAGACTGCTATGAGGAGTAGTTTGGATTTTAAACACACAAGAATATTAAACGTACATTTGACTGTTGTCCTAGTGAGAAAAGGTGTGGAAACTAGTTGTTTGGAAGCTGGATTGCTACTTGTTCAGCTACTTTGAAAGGTTATGGTGTTTACTGTTGCTTAAATAATGCAAACCGAAATGCAACTACTAGGCTAGTACCAAATCAAAATGAAAATCAGATTTTAAAAGTAAACAGATCAGAAAGAGGATGCCTGAAGAAGATGGAACTTTCTCCATAACAGGCTATAGGAAAAGGCTTAGAGGCTTGTGATGCATTGCAGGTTTCTCCCTCAGTTTACACATAGGTGAATTAACCCCTGCTCCTTACATGTGATAGCAAAGAACCTGGCCAGAGGAAGCATTAATAATATTAGAAATATTTGCAAGACTATAAATCAGTGATTCATGCTACTTTATTTTCTGTGCTTATCAGACAAGATTTTCCAGGAATATTTGCTACATGTTTTTCCCTGTTTTTCAAGAACCTGTGTAACACGGGTAGACTGCCATCTGGTAAGCTAGCAGCGTACCAGCCTTCCCAGGGCTCCTTTGCACGTAAGCCAGGCTGTGTTTTATTGTTACAGAGTTTGCTTTCTAGTTCAGAGCTTAACAGTAACTACTTAAGTGATGCACTTTGCTACATGTGGGCTGCAGTCAAAAAACTTCCTCCAAATAATGCTTCTTTTCTCCATCTCCTTCCCTGTTTCTGTCTACTGGGGAAGAAAAAAACAAACCCAAACCAAAACTTAAACCCAAACCAACAAACTCTTAGTTCAATTCCAGCACATAGAAGAAGGGAGTCCCCAGAAGCAGAGTTTGCGTTTAGGAGGAGCAACACAAAACCTCCTGTTGCTGCCAGGATGTTCAATCTCCGTGGCAGCAGCATCTGTACTTGCTTAGGGGCAGCTTTCAGAGGGTCTGCCCCGTACCATACCCTCCTACCGCTCCCTCGCTGCTCCAAGGCGAGGTTACATCATGAAATCATCCTGCTCCTTGCCCAGTTTTACAGGAGCTTGAATCCCTTCTTCATGCTCCCTTGAAAATCCACAGGCATACTCTCAGGCTGTCTTGTCCCATCACACAAGCTACGGAAGGCTTTTGTGATTAAAATCAGCACATCAAAAGCAAGACAAGGTTAGCAGAGGAAGAAAAAGTCCTTCCACCCCAGCATTGTTTTAGGCCATTACCGGTGCCTTGGAAGCTTCACTACTCCTAGCAAGTCTACCTAGCAAGACAGAGATCATGACTGGAAACAATTCTTATCATTAGAGAGCAAAATGAAAACCAACTTTTCTCACCCCGGGAAGAAGGCTGGGACCCTAGTGCATCATATTCTGCCTGCTGTGAAACCCCAGGGCCGCCTGGGGAGGAAATCAGTTCAGATGTGAAGTCACAGGCACTTTCACAAGCGTTACTGTGTTCCTTGGGATGGGTGGCTGCACGCGTGACATCAGGACCACCCCTCGAGGGAAGTTTAAGCAGCAGTGGGTTAGTGCTGTCCAAGCATGTGTCAGACTTTCAAGCTCCTGGCAAAGAGCAAAGTGCACCACAACAAACAACATAGCTTAAAAGGGTCAAATCTATGCAGAGCTCTGGTGCAAATTTATCTTCTGACACAGCTGGAAAATCATTTAAGGATATAATTAAAGGCAGTAATTTTTTAAAGTTCTCTTTGGTTAAGGCAAGGGCTGGCAGCTTCCTGAGTCCCTCTCAGAAGTTCGTGTTACAAGTATCAGCTGCCATGTTCAAAGCAACCTGCGCTACCAACAGCAACAACGATCTCTGAAGATACTTACAAGCCAAACTGCAAGGTAGAGGTATCAGAGAGATGGCTTGAGGCCACATAGCACACTTTCATCAACTGAATAAAACGAAATCAAACAGCCTCGGAAGAATGATGACATCCAAGTTCTTCCTGAAATCTCCCTTCAGCAGAGGCACTGGGTCTTCTCCACGCTTGGACTGGCAATCACTGGCCTGGAATCCAGATAGACGCTGTTCGGAGGAATCTCTCCGTGAAGCTGTAAGGTATTTCGGGCTATAAGCTCCCGAGCCATCAGCGTGAAGACCTCTTCTATGTTGTGAGCTTCTTTCGCTGATGTCTCCAGTACAGCTAAGAGCCCATGCTTCTCTGCCAGTGTGCAGGCATCTTCAAACAGGACTTGGCGCTTATCCAGTGAATCTGATTTGTTCCCTTAAAAAGAGGCAAACGGATAATTCAATAATTAGTCTCTCAAAAATTCATCTTTAAATGCAATACATTAACTCAATTTGGTTAAATAAAGGAATTATGTTAGGAATAAGAGTTACTGGATAAAACACAATGTGAACACATCAGAGCCATGAACATAGAATGTGGATCAAACTGCAGCTAATCATATGATTATATCAACTGAGTTAAAAACACAAACGACAAAAAAACCCAAAAACCTGTGTTCATCCAATTACTTGCTGTAGGTAGTAGCGCCAGAGGATTATTTGGAAGCAACTGTTGGCCCCTATTGCCTAGTGGTTTTAAACATCAAGTAGCATTTAAGCTAAATATTTAAAAAATAAAATCTTAGTAATTCTTGGAGCTATAATGGCTGCACACAGTAAACCAAAGCAATGCTGCATAAAGGTTTATTCCACCTTCAGTGGAAACCACGTGTGTTATGCTATTGTCAGGCTACCTTGACACATCTCAAAGTGGATGCCCAGCTCTGAAGTTGTGGGATGTTGTTAGTCTACAGCAGATCTCCTCCAAAAACAACCCCGTTAAGACACAGGAATAAGCTGCTCAACTGTTAATCAGATTTTAACGTGACCTCTTCACACAAGTCAGTCATTTTAAGATGATGCCAAGAGACAGAAAAGAGTTCACACCAGCTACCTTAATGCTTAAAATGTGTATACTTCAGAAGTTTCTGCATGTATAGATAAAACGTCTACTTGAAGCAGTAGGTCATGAAACACCTCAGATAAAATGCCTTTGTATATTTAAGTAGTTGCAGCACATGTGGAATATCATCAGTTCTGGTACATGCACTACCTGGCTGAAGCCTGCAGCTCAGAGTTTCACAATAACCCTTCATAAAATTCAGATCTTTCATTTGAAGCATATGTGAGCCAACTCCCCTCCCTTTCAGTTTTTCTAAAAGGAAAAAAACCAACCCACCCCACAAAAGAAAACCACAACCCTACCCAAAAAAATCATCCTGCTTGAGGGTTATCTGCCCTCTTAAAAAGAGCCCTCCCTCTTTCCTCCTTCGGTTCCAGATGGGAAAGTTAGACTTCTTAACCTTAACTTCATGTGAGAAGGGTGCATAACATGACTGCGTGTAAGGAAATGTACAAAGACTTCCTGCCAAAGTACAGCAAACAGCACCAGCTTTGGAAGAAAGCACCAAGCTGGATCCTTCATAAAAGCTTTCTTTTTTTACCAACTTCAGAACTTATTTCTAAAATAAAAAAACTACCCATCCCACAAAACAACCACCAGCCTCCACAACACACACAGATAGGTCTTGTTCTTTAGACTTCCGAACCAAGTTAGAGAAACCCTACCAAAGTTGTTTTTTTTTTCCTTACTCATTCCAAGCACTGCAGTTACACGCAGGTCAGAATTTGTTTCTTCAGAGGAGGAACAGGCAGAACCACCACGGCAGAAGCAGGTCATTTGCCAGGAGCAGAAGCAGAAGCTGAGGTCTCCTGCCTGCTGCACCGTGGGGCTGGGCCCTGCCTCTCCTCCGGAGCCGGTTTGGGCTGCCGCGGCTGCAAGCGTTGCTGTGGGCACAGTGCCACAGCGGAACAGACACAGCTTTTGTTTTCATTCCACTGCTGCTGCCATTTTGCTACACCAGTTCTCTCCTTTGCAGCTTCTTCCTTGGGGGAGGGAAGGGCAATAATAACCTGAAACACAAAGGGAAAGAAGCACGCTGCTTCCTACCAGCTCTGTTCTCAGAAGTTTCTACCCATTTCTTTCCTCAAGTGGCAAAGCTTCCCGAATGCTGGTGGGATAAAGGAGGAGGAGGAATGCTAGCAGACTACTTGGTGCTCTGTGAAAGCAAGCCCTGTACCCATCTACCGTCTTACCTGATCGGGGTCCCATTACAGAGCAATGTGCACGCACATCAAAAGAGCAGAGAGGAAAGATGAGAACAAGGAGTTGGGTTGCTCTGTGCCTTCCCCTTCCTCTTGAATTACTGAGCCGCTAAATTCCTATGCGTCGGGAGTAGAGGCCAGACCTACTGCAGTTCCAACCTCGATAAGGCTGTCCCCGCTTGCGAGACTAGCAGCGAGCTTGTTGCATTATTGCATCAGGAAAGGGACAAGTAAGAAGGCTTCGCTGTCTGCAGTGGGCTTGGCTCTGTCAGGACCAGGCTGTGAGTTGCCTAATTTTTTAAGCTTCGGTCAAATTCATACAATTTCTGATCTCTTTCAATGACAATGGCATTCTTCTTTAGTGCATAGTTTATAAATGCTTTAAGTAGTGGAGGCAGAGCGAGGTGGGGGGTTATACATGCATTAAAAAAAAAAAAAAGCTACACAACATAATATTTAAAATTAGGTTCCTACCAATTAACATCATGACCAAGTTCGCAGCACCATACTTCTCAATTTCATTAATCCAGTGTGGAATGGATTCAAATGTGGACCTCCGAGTCAGGTCATAGGCGAGGATGGCCCCATGAGCGCTCCTATAATAAGACTGCGTTATCGTCCGGAAGCGCTCCTGACCAGCTGTGTCCCATACTTGGATCTGTAAGAGAAAGGACAGAGGCTGCAGAGACCGGCGAATGCGGGTTCCTAGGTGTCTGCCATCAGCATCTACGCTTTCGAAACCCCTTGCCCAGCAGGCAGCTAGACCCGTCCTGCTCGCTCCACCACGCCGCAGCATGGCTTTGCCCTCTCTGGATCCAAGGGGACGTTTACGTGCCCGTGAAGACAACCTACGTGGACCAAAAGGGTAAACCCAGCTTTGCAAAGAGGTCAGGAAACCCAGTTTCTGCCTCCTCAGCCCCTCTCTGAAGGGGGGGAAGAGACCTCCCCGGCCCCCCACCTTCACTTTCTTGCCGTCGATGTCCACGGAGCGGACGGTGAAGTCGACGCCGATGGTGTTCTGCTGCTTCTCGGCGTACTGCCCGGTCTTGAAGCGGTGCACCACGCACGTCTTCCCCACGTTGGAGTCCCCGATCAGGATGATCTTGAAGAGGTAGTCGAAGGCGTCGTCCGGGCCGGAGAAAGGCATGGCGGCTGCCGGGGGGAGGGGGTCCCGTCCCCTCACCTGTGGGCGCTCACCTGCCGGGGCAGGCACCGCCCGCTTTGCCCCCTCCCGGAGCCGCTGGGCAATGTAGTCCTTCCTCC